AGTAATTTTGTCCTTTAAAGAGCAGATCGATTGTAGTTCCTCATTAATTTTTCACTATTAGAAGCTTTCTGGATCTGACTACCGTTGTCAACAATAAGTCTCTAACAAAACTGAGATTGTTTTGTGAAGTTACACATAAATAATGTATATGCCTGTCATTTGATTGAATAATGTTCTTTTATTTTCAGGGTGTTACAACTTCGTGGTTTTAGTAGTAGGCTTTTGTGTATTCATGATTATCTCTTGCTTACTGTATATAGCACTGTACCGTCGTGACTCGGCGAGATTGCGAGATATCAATCGAGGTGTCTTACCGGAAAACGTTGTCTATACTCTCAGTACAAGATTTCAGCTGACGGAAAACTTAAGAGTGCTGAAGGTAGATGCCTTTTTCGGTACTAAAATGTCGAGAACCGGCTCGACCAATCTCGCGTAACCTTGGACGGATTTACAAGGCTTGAGTTACGATAGGAATAGTTTACGATATATCTCCCTAAGATGGTTTGCAACTTGAAAGACCTACTTAAGGCTTAATAAGAGCTCAGATATTGTTCCCTTTGTATTTCTTGCCCTTACCGATGTTTTGAAGATCTTGGAAGAGTTGCAACATTCACAATGGCGTCCTGATCTATTCATACTTTGAGAGGCATTAGTATCCATTTCAGCTCACTCTAGCCTACGTAACACCACACAATCTAAAACTCTGAATATCACTTCCATGCCATTTCTCCCGTCATTATGACAAAAACTCCTTTTTGTTATTACAGACGCGTACGACAAATCAAACATTTGATTGCTAAGGATCGCTTAGTTGCTACCAGCCAGTAAGTGCTTTTATCCGATAGAACAAAAGCACTTACTTGTACATCGGCAAGCAGGTTGTTGTAGAAGCCCCACACGCATTCGAAATACCATCACGGTGCAGATTGGAAGTCACACGCGAGTACGCATTGCACAAAGGGGATCGATTAATGTCGGAATGCTTAACAAACTCTAGAATTTTTGATCAATTTGATGGTTAGAGCTTGCTTTCAGGTTCTCATGCAATTGTCGATAGTAATGGCCGTGAGTTGTGTGGCCACTTCTGTTTTCTATGCACTATCAGAGGTATTCAAGGATCACGTCCAACTTAGCCGATTTTGCTTTGCTCTCACAAATCTGTCTTTGGCGATGTAAGCTCTGTTTCCATCAGGGTCAACTATTACACTTTTTTGTTCTCCAACCATAGGAATTATGCACGTTTTCAGGCAGGGCGATGTTTTTATCGTTGTCTTCATGGTAGCCCTTGGGCTACAACGGTTTCGTGCGATTATTCCGCTAAGTTCAAAGTTCGAGATAACACCGAAAATTGCGACAGTTAACGATCATCGTGGAGCATATAATACATATCTTCATCAGATGTCTACAACATGGAAGATATAGAAAAATTCGCAGTAATTGTACTATAACGTTTTTCACGCTGAAACCGGCCGGAAGATGTGTATGATTCTATCGTAACCAGATTCTGAGCATTACTTGCTGGACCTTCTGATACTTCAAATGCTCAGAATCGTACTTGAATTACTTCTAATTTCAGTATTTTTTAAGTCGAAATGGTGTTACTAAAATAAATATCCTGGCATTGATCATTTTTCAGGTTTATTTTGTTCATTCGACTTTTAATAAATATTTGGCCTAATTAACTGCAAGTTTCATTCCGCATTTTTTCCTGCTTGATGTTCATTGACGCAACCATTCCTCCCAACCCGCCGTTTCCTCATTTTTGTTAATTTTCTTGTTCATTCGGCGGAAACCTGGAGCAGTTCAACCTTTAATTCAATTTGATTGGTTTTCAGCGCCACTTTACTTGTTGCACAGCACAGCTGTTTTTCGGGGGATTCCGGGTGCGCGCGGCAAATTGCGCGGCGAAAGTCGCGGTGGTTCAAACGACTCCTGCGCCTATCATTGGGGCACAAATTTGAAGTAGAGTACTTTAGTAGGGTCGGACTATCCTACTTACCTACTTTGCTTCTAATTTGGGCCCGCTTTTCTCGTGAGTGTATAATTACTAGCCAGATTGTTCTCCAATGTCTTCTATTGTGTGAATGGCAGTATACTCACAACCTATTCATTTACCAGTCTCAGGATCATGTGAATAACGAACCTGCTCTTTACTTTCAATTATCCATTGCAATATGTGACTAATTCCAACAGGCCTCTCGAGCGAACAATGGAAGTTAATTTCATCAACGTTCTCCTTGTCTTACGACTGTAAACTTTTAATTAGTAGTGAAATCGCGAAATTGTAATTGTTTCAAGCGAATTACCAGTACCTGGTGTGTAAAACTTAGGAACGAAAGCAATATTCGATAACTGTACCTCTGCCAGATGGCAGAGTTCGATCAAATTTATACCATACTAAGATAGGATCATTACGGTATTGCACACGAATTAATTAAAAATCGAAGAAAATTGAATTGAGACCAGCAGATAAGATATTTTTTCAAAGGTACCGATTACACGTAAGTCCCCCAATTTATCCTGTCACTTCAAAAAGCAACGCGGATCCTAACAGGGTGTGTGATCACCACGGATAGCAGTAAATGCTTTGCTACGAGATCCCATACTTTCCAAGAGGTTGGTCATTAGTTCCTGACAAGACATCCCGCTTCGCTATCAACGCAGTTGTCAATTGCTGGATGGTCACTGGTGCATTCGGGCGTGCTGCAATGCAATGTTTTTGGGAGAGTTGCATGTTCCTACCTCTCTCTATATGAAGGTGCGCCCAGACTCACTATTCAAACTGGAACTTTTCACACCCAAGAAGCGCACAGGGCTCGCCTCTTCATTGGTCCATTCGCTGCGCTCCTGGCACCACCCTAAACGGTTTCGCCGATGCGTAAGGGACAAATAGCGGTCGTCGCGCCACTGTAGTACGTGAGATGGCCTTGAGGCCCTGTAAAATGCCTGAGATTGCATGCCTTGAAGTCATTGCAATCACACAAGCTGATTGACGTATATTTGTTCTTGCCTGTTGAACAATGTAGCGGTCATCCCTTTGTGTAGTTGATCTTGGTCGACCACATCTTCTAGCTACTCGCTGTTTAACAAATTTTTCCTTATCTATCATCTGCATCGATTTGTGTGGGCAGCCATATTTCGCGCCTTATTTGAATTATTCCTCCGAGGGGGNGGGGGAACCAACTTCCTCTGCATACCCTTCATAGGTCTGGCAACATACTCCCACGCTTTCATTATTTCCACCCAGTCCTTCATGTTTTACGTTACATTATCCATCTCGTTTCCAAGTTTTGCGCACCGCCCGTCTGAGGTTTGCTCCCACGCATTAGACTTCCATTAGAATCGTAGTGACGTATTGAATTTGAGTTTGATCTTTCTTTTTTTTCTTACGTTGGTCAGCTGATGTTAAGGTCAGTGAATTTAGGCTTCCAGACGAGTCTGTTCCCGTTTCACCAACCTCAGCAAGATAATAGGTTCAGCTAGTCTGGGCGAGAGTCGATGCGAGATTCGAACCCGTGACTTTGCGTGTGGTATAGTGCGCCACTTGCCATATACCACTCCGCGGCGTAATGGTCACTGAAACCCACCCATGAGTCACTCAATTTATCTTTATTTCTGCAGCAGCACCTAATGAGAATGTATTTCCTTCTGGTAGTTGATTACTGTTGTTACTGCTTTCGCTAATTTGAATGGCACATTTAGGCATACTATTACGTGCCAATTTACGAGCAAAACAAAAATAACGACTATTTGAGTCCGTTGCTAGCTTTTTACCTTGTATTTTCCATTAGCGACAACAAGCCGTTGCAGAATATTCTAGCCGTAACTTCTCCAATATCTCCAAGACTTCCTCTTTGCTATGTTACTCATGACAAATGAATTGAAAATGCTTCCGGTGGGTCAGGATGACCTGAATGAGAACAAGAGGACGGACCGCTTCCAAGTCCGATCCGCCCTTCCAATTATCATTCAGGTCATTTTACTAGAAATTTGACAATGTTTCTGTGACTGCCAGACTTACAGATTTAAGTGCAGGGAACGCTCAATGGATGGTACCGATGTAGCCTTCACCACTGCAGTGGCCAGACAGTACAGAGGGCTAGATGATGGGAACCATATGCATTGGCCATCAATGAGCCCTAATAGTGAGCTGAATGGAACTCGAGTGCGGGAGAATGAAGAAAACAACCTAAATATTGGATTGATTCCTTTATCCCTTATTTACATATCAAGACAGCCTTGTAATGTAGATACTACCTTCCAATTTGGTCGCAGCGTTTGTGTACCTTTCAGTTGCGTGTCTTTGATGCCACTTCCTCTACCATGTGACTTAAAGGGAATTTAATGATCTTGAATATTTGAAGGGTTCAAAACTTTGGAGAGACTCTATAATCTCGTTTACTTTTTCCGACCCACGAAGAAAATTTCACATTAAAGGTCCTAATTTGCTATAGATATAGTGTTTTGCAGGTCCACGAAGCATGTACACTCGATCCGTTCTTCTCTTGGAAAATTCAAACTATCTTCATGATAGACGGAGGTTTTGAGAATTTCTTGCAGAAACACTCAATGAGAAATGATCACGAAGGATTCGAAATCCACTTGGTCGANTTGCTGTGGTTTACATTCCATTCATTATACGAATTTTGAACAGAACTCCATTACTTCACAAAAACGTTGTACGAATATCGAGGGTGAGTTTGAAAAAACGGAATTCATTAACAGTAACTCCTATAAGTATGTAATTGTTTAGTTCAACGCTCACTGCAGTTCCTCTTCCTCGCTTTTTCCTTTTCTTTCTATTTCTATTATATATTATAAAATACATGATTACGATATGCCTACAGGAATTACTGAAATGACAAACTCTTTAGAGCACGTAATTTTAGTTGTGAGAATAAGATTGAGGAAAATAACATTTGTAGCAGTAGCCAAGAGCGAATTTTGGCCTAGACTCACAACAGTTGTTTATAATAGGATTGACTACATTCTATGCTGCAGTACCGTACTAAGGATGTGCCTGTACTAATAGAAAAGGGACGGAGGTGGTGTAGCGGCGAGTGGAGCACACTGCCGCACGTATGGTCCCTTAGTGCTCAGCTCAACTGAGCCTTCCACTCCTCCAGAGTCAGTTGATCGGGAACAGTCTTCTATTTAAGGATAGAGGCTTTTGCTTCTACACCAGTTGTCCACCTCAAGTCATTGTATAGGCCACATACAAACGCCGTCAAATCGCGTCTGCGATTTCGAATGGAAGTCTAATTCCATGGCGCATCCCTTGATTGATGAAGACTCAAAACTTTATTTGTTATAATTTAGCTTCGCCTTATTTTGCATGGTAATTGGTTCTGTTCATAAAGGAACAAATTGTAAGAAATGGCAATAGAAGCAGTAAAGGCCCGTGATTAATTGACACTGTCTATATTTTCAGGCTCTTTTATTCTTATACTATCCCAATATATTGTCTCGCTTTATGCTTTTCCTTCATGAACTCAGTATAATGGAGCACGAAGGTATACCCAAGAACCTTTCTGTTTCTAGAGTTCACTATGTGTTTTATAATTTATGCATTCCTCGCCACGCCCTGGCCAGCACTACAACATTCATGGCCCGGGTTCTAATCTCGAATTGATACTCACCCAGGCCGACCAAGCCTTCCATTATTCCGGGAAGAACCTAACTGGTAGTGCAATCCACCATAAATCGTTATGTATTGGGTTGTAATATAAGTTCGTAGAGTTTTGCGTTAGAATAATTTTACAACGATTTGTTTTGTTTTTTAGCAAAGGGTATATACTCATTCTAAAGAACTCTTTTTTCTCAACAGGAGAGGAGAAAGCAGCATTTTTAATATCTGCTCTTCTTTGCTTTTCATCTCTTTTCATCGGAGCCAAACAGGTCTTTTCGACATATGTAGTGTGTACGGATGGTGTCTCAGTTGTGTCTTCTGCACAAAAATGGTTCGCAAAGTTTGAAAAGCTCAGATACTCTTCGTCGAATTCTGCAGTCGAGGCGGGTCCTTAAGGCCGAATTGCACAGATATGTTGTTGCGTTATTTAGGAAATGTCTGCTACATAATTACTGTGATAGCAAGCTTCGTCCACTCATGGTGTTCCTGTACAATGGCCCTATACCTACCTTCGGTTATCATCGAACGATGTTTTGCCTCCAAATTCATCGCTGACTACGAAAAAGTCTCCAAAAGTTGGATCAGCGGAATTATCATCTCTTTGGGTTATATGGTGTCAGCGATTATTGCTGCTACCGTTTTACTGGGCAAGTTATTGCTTAATGTAGAGTTACTTCTGTCTCGCCTTCAAAAATCCGATGAGGAGGTATTTCTATGCCTGTTAGGAGCTCAATGTGAACCGAAAGTAAGTTGAAAAGTTGTTCATTCCTTTATTAGTAAACCATAACGAACTCGAAACTTAATGCCGAACGCCGTTTTTCCGGAAGCAAGAAAAGGAGCGACACAACACTTCAACAGCGGATAGGTGAAGGTTCAAGCCCGAGTGGTCCCACTTGAACTAGTCAGAGGATCTGGAATATTAGCCTCACAATTTCGATTCGGTTCTCCTAGAACTAGGGGTGTGTGGCAAGGTGCATTGGGAAGCACCGACAGGAAAAACGTCAGTTCAATGCAAGAGTCTGGACACAATACTCTGATTGAGGCCAAGATGATATTGGAAGCGTTATATATCCACACACTGGACCAGAGCTAAACAATCTTTTGCATGGTTTGGGATCACCGCACCTTTCTCATTCTGCGCTTGACAGTAGGGTAGTAATTCTCCCTTGTTGCTCACCTATTCGAGTATACCATCAATGCTTATGGAATGGCTCCTTGTTCATAATCGTCCGTATTTGAGTTTGTGGAAGATGAATTTACTGGCTTGAAAGTCCCATTTCATGGTACCTAACCGGGTGAAACACGGAGCAAAAGCCCCGACCCACCCCAGATAGTTAATGACAATGACTTTTTCCTGATCGTTGATTGAATAAAACGGTTCTGCTATGATTGAAAGCATACATAACACATCACCACTGTGTTATAAATCAACACAAGCAGAAGAAGCGCCGATAATCAGACGAATTTTCAATGGTATTAGTAAATCACGGTGTGAAAATGTAAACTATTGGTAGATTGAACGAGTGGTTTGAAAAACATCGACGCAGCTCGAAAATTCGGAAAAGAGAAATAAGTCGAAAAGTCGATTCTAGTCCTCAATTCCTTTTGCAAACTTTGAGAATCCGACAACTGTCATCAACAATAAAGCTCCTACAAAAATTGTGTCTGTGATTGTGCATATGTTCTTCAATAATTCATTTATTTCAGGATATTACAATTTCGTCGTTTTAGTAGTAGGCTTTTGTGTATTTATGACTATCTGTTGCTTATTATATATAGCACTCTACCGTCGTGACTCGGCGAGGTTGCGAGATATGAATCGAGGTGTCATAGCGAAAAACGTTATCTACACTCTCAGTACAAGATTTCAGCTGACGGAAAACCTTAGAGTGTTGAAGGTAAATGTTGTGTTACTAAACAGGATATGTCCTTACAGGGGGTTCAGATACTGTATCCTTTGTATATTACATCCATGGAGAACGTCCTTCCCATGCGCTCGTCGAAATAAGGTCACCCGCACACTTCGCGCGCGGCGCAGCCCACTGCAATCTCGAGATGACATTACAGTGCCACTAAGTGTCAGGGGAGCGAATGATTCCCATTAGTCCAGGTTTTCTTCTCTTCGAGCTTACTACCGTGAACTAAGGGCAAATCGTAAAGCCCACTGACAACTGCGAAGTTCGTCTAAAAACGCGCTCTGATGCGCCACGTGCAACCCTTCTTTACCACGGCACACGCACGGTCACGAGTTCAAATCCAGGAATCCCTTCGCAAGCCATTGTAGAGGCTACATATGTACGCATTCAATACGCCACTACTATCCTGAAAAAAGTCGAGTGCAGAAAGCATCTCAGAGACGGAATCGTTAAGCCGAGAAACTTCAATGTCCCGAAAATTCTTAAACACCTTCTTAAAACCGTTAAGAAATCAGTTTTAGATCCTGATGAAACTGTCGATAGTAATGGCCGTAAGTTGTGTTGCCACTTCCTTCTTCTTCGTACTCTCAGAAGTATTCAAACATCATATCCAATTTAGCCGGTTCTGCTTTGCTCTTACAAATTTATCTTTAGCAGTGTGAGTCAAAGACTTTTNTTTTCTGCATGATCAGTTATTTTCCTTTTTTATATTGCCGATATCTGTATTATGCCACTTTTCAGGGAGAGCGACGTTTTCATCATAGTCTTCATGATATCCCTTGGACTTAATCAGTTTCGCTCGATTATTCCTCTAAGTTCAAAATTCGGAATAACTTCGCAAATATCGAAAGTTGATGATCACCGTGGAGCATACAATACATATTTCCATCATATGTCTACAGTATGGAAGATATAAAGTATTCCCAGAATGGGAGCACAAAGTGACCCTATAACCTCCTCTTAATATCAAATCAGTCATGTGCTTGAACTGTCGTGTATTATTCAGGAAGCCTCTAGAGCTTTGCTGGACAAGTGTGTTCTCATAAGCTAGAATGGTACAGGTTTTGTCAAAATGTCCGGCACGGTGAATGTTTCATCACTAAAAACCTATTCGTCATTTACAGTAATTGTACATAATTACTCGCTTATAATTTCTCCGCAAGGTTTGAAATAATGCAGCCCTCCGAATTTTCAGATGATCATTTTTAAAGCATATTGAGTTTGTTCAGCATTCTTACTTCCAGGATCGAATTGCGTTGAAAGAAAATTTTTTGCTGTTCATTTCTTTTCTTAGGACACATCTACGCATGCAAAATTCGAGTCAACGTGTAGCAAAAAAAACTTGTACTTATTGGACTCCATCTTCTTTTTTAACAAAACTAATACATTCTGTGCTTTCAGGTAATTTGGCACAGGCGCAGTGAAGCAGAACTATACATAATTATGAGAACCCTGTGCATTTCATGGAAAAAGTTCCTGCTTTCTGTTGATAGGTGCGATAGGTTGATAGGCGAATTCTCCACAGCTGCCGTTTTTTAATAAAGATGTAGCGATCTCGTTCCGCTCTGCTTCGAGTTTTGCTGATAGTCGTGGATCCTTAACTCACGTTATTTGTCTTTATTTTTCAGGAGCTCCTATTGTAACTTTGGAATAAAAAGCTCACGTACAATATTGGTTTAGTGGCAAGTGGTGCCCATAAGATGGACATTGTTTAGTGTTCTAATCCAAAAACGTTCCCGCCTAGGACAACAAAGCTTTCTATTCTTTCGGTATCGGCAAGTATCCGCCAGGCCTATCTGGGAGGATAAAACCACCAGTTTGAAGAACGGCTGAACACAGCAATACGATGTGTAGGCCACTTACGACTTCGTGCAGCTACTATTGAATGGTGTTCTAATGCAGAGTTTCATCCCAAATACGACGTTGATGAATGCCGAAGAGAATCACTTTTGCATACATACTTTTGCATACTTTTCCTTACTTTAGAATTATTTTCATTGTGGTGTGCATAAAATTAGGGCAAAAGTGGTGTAGTGGCAAGTGGTGCACTATAACACACTCACGGTCGCTAGTTTGAGTCCCCGATCGATACCCGCCTGGTACAAACTAGCTTTTCACCCCTCCGGGGTCGGTTAATTGGTACCAGACCGTTTGGGAGGATAAAAGCACTGACTTTTACATCGGCTGGCCACCGCATTTCATTGTATAGGCCACATCATTACATTACACCACTACGATTCTGAATGGAAGTCGAATGCGGGGGCGCATCCCTTAGAAGGGATTAATTAATGCCAAAAATTTTTATCCTTTTTTATGCATAAAATTAAAGGGCTAATAGCCACTCATAAGGCAACCATTTTCTGCCATGGTATGTAGTAAACCATAATAACATCGTACCAGACCAAAACATACACTTCTTCCCTGTTAAACGAGAGATCAATGTTTCTCAAAAACATCATTATCCTAAAAGGATCAAAAATTATTCAAAACATGACCTTGTTTGTTGTTCGACGCTTCCTTCTTTGTCCCTTACGAGAACCAATGCTCACTAAAGCACTTAAATGAACAGTCTATAGCCTTTTTTTGAATGTTTTGCCAAGTGTTACTACTTTTCCAATACATGACACTGCTGATGTAGCTAGCCGTGTGTGTAGAAGCAATATATAATACAATTCGGATAATTGGATCCCATTCTTAGAAAAGTTGAGTTGTATCTTCAAGCACTGTTTGTAACAGTGGCTCCAATGTTGACTGCTACATGACTTCAAATCGCCAACATATTTTTTATTTATCCACATTTTTATACGAAAGATCTTTGCTTACCTTCAGGTTCACTTCATAATGCTTAAAGTCACCATCGGAAGAAAAGAAATTTTTCTGGTCATCATATGCCCGGTGGCGGCTAATCCGAAAGATGGCGTCTACTGGATTCTGATTATCATCGAAAACCTTATTACCTGTCTAGCTTTAGTGTATATTACACGACTAATACGTGTTTTTGGGAAGACATCATTATTCCATAGGAATCTTGTTCGAATTTCACAAGTAAGTTTATCTACTGCTTTCCTCGTTGAGGCATGCCGCTCATGATAGAAGCTAGGTAGCTTTTTTCAAGATTTTTTGTCTTCAAGGAACCTGCTCTGAAAGCGAAACAAATTTTGGCGTTAGCACTTGTGAATTAGATATTTCGACGGCTCTGGCTCCGGTTATATTTAAGTTCAAATTCCTTGCTAGGAGCTGCAGAACTGAGGGAGGGTAAGAACGAAAATTAAAGAAGCAAACACAGCTTTCGCAGTGACCTTATTTTGGAATGAAATGCGCAAACGTAGAATTACAGGGACAATAAGTTTTCAATTCAGAATCCTCGTTGTGGTATCCACTAGTCGGGGGCTCAACCCAGGGCCCCTAGTCGAATTATTGCAATAGCCCAATACCTGCCATGATTTCCTCCTCTGTAGGATGATGAGGGAGGATCTCTATGTTGTTGGTATCGTACAGCACATCTGTTTGACTCAAATCAACCACTGCTCAGCTTCTGAAATGAGCTGGGATAGACAGAAGCTCGCTGTAGCTTGCATCTTGTAAACCTGCATTCCGCACTTTATCGTAGAACTGTGCACTGTACTTAAGGGCGGCGAACATGATCATTTTCGGACACAAAAGAAACAGGCTGGCTTGAATTTCTCAGTGCCTGTTCGAAGTTTTCTTTGTGGATTTCTTCGACATAGTTTCAGAGCGATTCGGATCCAGTACTGAACTTCTATGATTTTTACATAGAAATCGTTCCTTAAGCAGTTTTCAAGTATGTTTTACAGGCTCTATTGATCACCTTTTATCCTAATGCCGTAGGACGTGTTGTTATAACCTTCTACGAATCCGGTATTTTGGCATATGACGGTAAAGCTTCGGAAATTTTTTTCTTAAAGTCGTTCAACTTCAATAATCGGAGCATCAATGGTGTTTCAAAGCCTCGATGTTTCTCAAATAAATAATAGTGCAAAGATGGTTCAGTGCCAAGAAAAGGGGAGGGGGAGGGGAAAGGAGGGAGGAAGGGGAGGGAGAGGGGGAACACTGACTGGTACTTTAGCGAGATTCGTTCTGTAAAGTGAACCCGCATTTATGTATGGCCGTACAGCAATAATACATGCAGCCCGAATAAAGGAAGAGCTGGTATAGTGACAGGGACAGTAGCATGTACTATTACCCACATGTATTCCATGCCTCCAAGGCCGGGTAAGTACCAGACTTGTCTAGGAGGATAAGAGCCCCGGTCTGTGCATGGGCCACAAACCCTCATCAATTCTGACTGTCAGTCATATGCGAGGACGTATCCTAGAATGAGGCTAATTGCCGAAACACTTGAAAACCATATTTGAACAATGTAAATACTACTATAACTTTATAGGAAACGGTATCTCGAAAGTTCTCCTATCGTGTGCATGTTTCGTTCGCGTATGGGCTATGAATTCATTGATATTATATTTTCCGTCGGTGATTATCGAAAGAACTTTTGCTTCGAAATATATCAATGATTACGAAAAGCTTCCCAGACCATGGATATGTAGAGTTGTGATTCCATCGGTTCATAACATTTCAATATTAACGGCAGCTGCTAACATGCTGGGCAAGTTTATGTCTCCTGTTCGATCCTTCGTATGATTATTCTGACAGTCTTTTTTAGTGTTTAGGCAGAAATATCGCTACTGTTTTAGGCTACTGCAACGAATTAATTGCATCGATATTGATTGTTGCGTTTTTCCTTATCTATTGTACAACATTTATAATTATTTTCCGTCGAGATTCTACGAAATTGCGAAACCTGGACAATCCTTCGCAGAAAAAAGTCATCTACACCCTGAGCACAAAATTTCAACTGAAAGAAAACCTTAAAGTCATGAAGGTAGAAGGTTTTGATCATCCCAAAGTCTCAGGTTATTTGGAAACAAGTCATATCAAACTACTCTTCCATTCCTTAAAATTCGTAGCTGAAACGGATCAGAACCGGGCAATCCATCGAAGCAATGTTCAATTAGAATTAGAATTCGAACGGTTAGAAGGGCTTTCTAAAACATCGACTAGACAGTCCACTAGATTTGGTTCCTTTGGTTCCACATCGCTTACGCCTACGAGGATAGCAGGGATGACCTTAATGAACTGGGCTTCGACCAACCGTTTTAAGGTTTTAACGTTTACAGCAATTGTTGACCGATTGGTAAGTTGTATGCCTTACAACTTCTCGAGGCCTATCCGACTCTATGCAGCCTTCACGATACAATCTATTCCATTTCGGTGGGGCCTAAAAAGAGAAAAACAGTCAAGACCATTTTTGGGTGGGCCATAATGAATGTTTCACCATTAGAAAACCGTTGAGCACAGAAGCACTGAAACAATTGCCCAGGTTTTAAGAAGAGTGGACACGAGTTTTCAGTTGAGATCAGTTCTGCTGCCCAACTGAATGACGTCAAAAATAGTTATTTCTAGGATGGCGAACATAACCCATAATTTTCCTAGAGTGATGTTTAATACATTAACAGTTGTTTTAGATATTGATGCATCAATCAATTGTGGAGGCAGTGAACACTGTGATTGGGTGTTCGTTATTTATTTTGACGAAAACTTTATTGGTAAACAATTCACAGCGGATTCCAGCAGCTTATGTGCTTTCAAATATTTGCTTCGCAATGTAAGTAGCTTGCCATGTCTATTAAATAACCGTTTTCTGATTTCATATCTATGCTATGCATGCGTCTAAATTTGCTCATTAAGATCCTTCTGCATGATTGCTTTGATGTATATGGTTGCTCTTGGTGAAGTTCGATTTCGACTTTTTCCATCGTGGAGCTCGAAAATTCGAGAAATGCATAGGACTCAATATATAAACGAGCATCGTGGGGCATCCGATGCATACTTTAAGCAACTATCTAATGCCTGGTAGATGCAATTCAACATGGACAACAACGTGCGCCACTCGCAGGCCAAAGCGAATTTCATATTGGACCAGCTACATCGACATCAGGTCCAAGTGAAAATGTCCCCAGAGATCGTTAAGCTCTACGTATGCTCCCACAGTGTTTTCATGTATGTTGACGAAAACTTAGCGAAGGAGTTTCTAGTATGACTCCACACATACCCCTTCAGGCAATCTCTTTGCTTCTTTTCTCCATTTTTTTNTTTTTTTCTGTTTTTTTAACCAGTGGTCTTTCTTCTCCACATCTAGACTTTATCTCCAGATCTATGCTTCTTTTCCACTTTTCCTATTTTTCTAATTTTTGAAATAGGAACATTGTCTTAGGGTTTCTGCTTTTGTGTTGTATGGCACACACTTGGGTCATAGCAACGTTAATTAAGATCAGTTACGTGAATTGTTTCTCATGTGATATTGCAATATTCTGTCCCTCACTAATTGTTTGTTTTGTGTTTTTCAGTTCTATTCCTCTTGAGTAAAGAAATCGCATATCTTGAGTTTTTTCTTTTTTTTACACTTTGCAAGCGTTTTTCGTTGTCCCATGGGGTACCAAAAATTACTTTCTCTGCGTTGACATAAAGATTTTCTAGTTCTGTAGATGCCTGGCGCTGACAGTTTGTATTAGTATTCCAAGTTTGACTCTTTGCGGACAGGTGTAGTAGAATGGAACGGATGTCGAACTAGCCCAATTCAGATAATACTTCCATCTCCCTGAAGAGGTCGTTCAGTCCCAAAGTAAGGGGATCCAAACCATTCAGAGCGGAGAGACATCATACTCCCAAAGATAGGTAAGTAGTATCTACAAGTTGTATAGATATACATTGGTCATAGCTTTATTCACCTTATCCTTCGATATCTCTAGTTGCTGTAGTCATCGGTAAGCAACCCACTTCGAGAATTCTGTCTATGCAAAATTCGTTCCCTCCCGAAAGGCTTGGCCCACATCCCAGCACGCCCGCATCCCCAACGTCAATCTTTTCGTTAGAACATAGGAACATAAGGGCTAGAGCAACGAGCTTCGAGCGGGTGGCTATAGTGATAGCGTCAGTAATATCCACGCCATCTCTGAGTGCTATCGGTCGCGAATACCGTTATTTATTTATTTATTTATTGCACATGCGTGCGCCAATGAACAGAAACTACTAATACAGATTGAGAAGAAGAAACATTCAAACAGCAAGTGGATACAAAAAAAGTTAGGAAGCAATAGCATGGAAGAGGAAATGAATGTGACAATAAAACGCCTCCGCTGTTACACTTACAACGCCAATGCCCGAACTATGGAGAAATCATTCGACAAG